CACGAGCCCCTGGACAAAGCGGGCAGGCTTCCCACTACATCATAACTTCTTCCTCTCAAAGAAGACACTTTCCCTCCTCTGTCTCTTTGCCTGAACTATAATGTGAACTTCATTTTGGCAGAAAAAACCAGCTTACCAATAATGGAAAAAAGAAAAACAGAAATTTAGCTTAAAAATGTATTATATGCAATGACAAAATAATAAAAGGGGTGCTATAGAAATACTAGAATAATAGAATAAAATATGAATAAAGATAATTAAAACTCTGCTTTCCTTTGTGTAGTTTGGAGGCAAAGGATAATAATTCCTTGTAAGCTTGCTTCCAAAGACTCTATCTTTCCATTCTGGTACCATCAAATCAAGATGAGTCTACATTCTTAATGCTAGTCATTTAAAACTAAAACCAAGAATTTTATGTGGAAAAGATATTGACTCAGTAGAAGTTATCTAGCAATAATTAGACTACTATAACCTGCCTTTGAGAATAAAGTAGATATTTATTGTTTTTTTTCCTGTTCAGCATTTTTCTTCTGGTAGTATCATCTGCTTTTCCCTTCAGGAACCACTTTCAGTCTGTGCAGGTTGGCTGGAGCTGACAATAGCTTTCTGATCCCGGAGCGGGCATGTGATCTGTCTCTGTCCTGCGAGTACATTCCACCTCCTCTACTTCAAGCATGTGTGCAAGATTCAAGCCACCCAATGATGCTTAGTGTTGTGATTTTATTAGAACCATTGAGAATAGCTAGGAGTAAACCTAGAGTTTCCAGAGGCCACCTAAGATGATTCACATGAAATATACAACAAGCACAAAGAAAATTAGAACTGAGAAATAAAAGAGAAATCTATTGAGCATCTGAATGTAGCAGTCCCTGGAGCAGGACCTAACTCTTGAGTTCTCCATGTTAGTTAATGAATTTCCTCTTTTATTTTAGTCAGTGTGACCCTAAATTTATATTACTTGTAAATAAAAAAACTGCTGAATAATATAGACTGTAATGCTTCTACTTTATACCACACCATTGCCTAAAGTTTATGCTTTTCTTATAGCTCATTTAAATTCTTTCTAGAAGACTAAGTTCAGATTTATGAGGAAATATTTTATTTGTCATTGATCCATGTAAAAAGTGGAATTTTCTTTATTCTCTCTCAAAATATTAATTGTAATAAGGTAAAAAATTGTGCCTTGCAGATTGTGTATATATAACAAGTAAAAAACCAAACAAAAAAGCAAGCAGTAACAGTTTGACCAAATATTACATATTAATCTCTGCCAACCATCTCAAGTGCCAAAAAACAATTTTTTGCTACTTCAAATATAAATGCAAGTCTAAGGATGGAAATTCCAACATTAGCAAGAATAATCAACTACAATATTTTAAATCTGGTGGAAAATGTAAATTACCTTTAAAATATATGATGTCAGGCCCTGGTCAGTGTGTGTCAATTGGTTGAGTTTTGTCCTCTAAAGCAAAAGGTCACAGGTTTCATTCTTGGGATGACATATGTCTGCATTATGGATTTGGTCCCTGTTGAGGTCCAAAACAGATGTTGAAAAGGGACAATCCCGAACGAGCCCCGGATAAAGTTAGGCTGACCAGGAACAGAAAATTTTTACTTCCTAAAAGGGCTAACCACCAACTACACAAAGAGCCTTTTGAATTTCCCTAATAAGCCAATGGCAATCAGCTGTTTAGAGCTAGCCAACAGCTAACAGCCGCATCTGCTTCTGTTCAAAGCTTGCTTGCATACCCCTATATAAGGACATAGCTGTAGTGCCAGGGCACGGCTCTCATCTGCAGCTCTCCTGAGCATAGTGTCCTCAGACACTCAGAGAGCTCGCCCCTGCGCAGGTAAAACTTGGCCAATAAAGTAACATCTTGAAAATTCTGAAAGTCTCCGAACCTCTGTTTATCGTGACGGCGGATGCAACAGTCCCCAGCCAGGGGTGTATGAGAGGCAACTGATGAGTGTTTCTCTCTCACAGTAATGTTTCTCTCCCTCTTTTCCTCTCTCCTTTATCCTCTCTCTCTAAAATAAATTTAAAAATTAATAAAATAAAATATATAATGTCAGGCTGATGGATGACTTGAAAACTTTTAGTAATTATTTCTTTACAAATGATTAAAATTTTATTTTAGAGCATTTTGTATATTCCTAGAAGATTATGAGCCAAGTTAATAACTTCTAGTACCTGGTACATACAGACTTTAACCATTATAAAAATTGTCTTTTACTAGATTAAAGTTTTTATAAATTCTGCAAAAGTAAAGATTTCATTTTCAATAATACGATCATAAAGACATGTATTGCATCTAGATTATAGATATAACTACCAGAAAAATGTTAGAGTTCTACCATAAATGACCCCAAATAGCCTCAGCAATTTTGAGAAAGAAGAACAAAGGAGAGATCATAATACCCGACATCAAACTATATTACAAGGCCACTGTAATTAAAATAGTCTGGTGCTAGCATAAAAACTGCCACATAGACCAATGGAACAAAATAGAGAGCCCCAGAATAAACCCATGTCTCTAAAGTTAATATTCAACAAAGAGGGCAGAAGCATAAAATGGAGTAAAAATAGCCTCTTCAACAAATGGTGTTGGGAGATCTGGACAGGTACATGCAAAAGCATGAAACTTTTACACCATACACAAAAATAAACTCAAGATGGATAAAAGACTTAAAAATAAGTCATGAGACCAAGAAAGACCTAGAGGAGAACATAGGCAGGAAAATCTCAAATATTCCACACAGCAATATTTTCACTGATATGTCCCTTAGAGCAAGGGCCATAAAGGAAAGAATAAACAAATGGGACATCATCAAAATAAAAAGCTTCTGCATGGCTAAAGAAAACATCAGCAGAGTTCTGGCTAAGAAGGAGGAGTAGGTAGAAACACTTTGCTTCCTTGCACAATCTAAAGAAAGATAACAACCAATTTAAAAACAATAAACAACCAGAAGTGCCAGAAAATCAAACTGCATGGAACTAGAACAACCAAGGAGTTAAAGAAATATTCATCCAGACTGGTAGGAGGGGCAGAGATGGGCAGCCGAGAAAAGAGGACGTGTGGCAAGGGAGCAGACCATGCAGGTGAGGCAGGTGTGGCTAAACAGGAAACTAAAGACTCAAAACCTCTAGCTGTAAAATGCTATGGGAGTTGTGATGGTGGGAAAAACTCCCAGTCTCACAGGAGAGTTCATTGAAAAGTGGAGCTGGAACAGAGCAAGTGAGTTGTATTGTCCCCTCTCTGACCCCTCCCCTACGGACAGCACCACAACACAACAAAGAGGATTGCCCTTCCCTGAAGAACACCTAAGGCTCCACCCCCTTACAACATAACAGGGGCACCAAGACAAAGAAATATGGCCCAAATGAAAGAATAAATCAAAACTCCAGGAAAAAAGCTAAGTGACAATGAGATGGAAAACCTATATGATACAGAGTTCAAAATACTGGTAATCAAGATGCTCAAGGAATTAACTGAGGAAAGGCTCAGGAACTTTTGGGACAACGTTAAGTGTGCCAACATCCAAATCATAGGGGTGCCAGAAAAAGAAGAAGAGCAAAAATTGAAAACTTAGTTGAACAAATAATGCAGGAAAACTTCCCCAATCTGGCAAAGGAAATAGACTTCCAGGAAGTCAAGAAACCCCAGAGAGTCCCAAAGAAAGTAGACCCAAAGTAGTTCCTCTTTAGGAACACACCAAGGCACATCATAAGTAAGTTACCCAAGATTAAGGATAAAGAGAAAAATCTTAAAAGCAGCAGAAGGAAAGGAGACAGTTGCCTACAAAAGAGTTCTCATACTACTATCAGCTGATTTCTCAAAAGAAACCTTACAGGCAAGAAGGGGCTGAAAGAATTATTCAAAGTCATGAAATCCAAAGACCTACATCCAAGACTGCTCTATCCAGCAAAGCTTTCATTTAGAATGGAAGGGCTGATGAAATGCTTCCCAGATAAGGTCAAGTTAAAGGAGTTCATCCTCACCAAGCCCTTATTATATGAAATGCTAAAGGGTCTAAGAAAAAGAGAATCAAAGACTATGAACAGTAAAGTGACAACAAATTCATAACTATCAACAACTGAACCTAAAAAACAAAAACAAAAACTAAGCAAACAACTAGAACAGGAACAGAACCACAGAAATGGAGACCACATGGAAGGTTGTCAGTGGGAGGGGAATAATGGGGGAAAGGTACAGGAAATAAGAAGCATAAATGGTAGGTATAAAATAGATAGGAGAAGGTTAAGAATAGTATAGGAAACAGAAGTCAAAGAACTTATATGTATGACCCATGGACATGAACTAAGGGGCGGGGGATGCTGGAGGGTGAGGGATGCAGGGCAGAGGAGGGATAAAGAGAAGGAAAATGGGCAACTGTAATGGCATAATCAACAGTTACCAGAGGGGAGAAGGGAGGGTACTTCAGGGGAAAAGAGGAAGGGTTTAGAGAAACAAGTATAAAGGACACATGGACAAAAACAAGGGTTAGGGGTGAAAATGGATGGGAGGTGGGGAGGCCTGGAGGTGTGGACTGGGATGAGAATAAAAGTGTACTTGAACAACAATTAAAATAAAATAAAAATTTAAAATAATAAAATGTACTTAAAAATAAAAGAAAACATCAGCAAAATGAAAAGAGAACCAACTGCATGGAAAAATATATTTGCCAATGATATTTTGGACAAGGGTTTGATCACCAAAATATATAAAGAACTCACATGACTCCACTCCGGGAAGATATACAATCCAATTAAATAATGGGTGGCCCTGGCTGGTTGTAGCTCAGTGGATTGAGCACAGGCCTGTGAAGCAAAGGGTCACTGTTTCGATTCCTAGTCAGGGCACATGCCTGAGTTGCAGGCCAAGTCCCCAGTAGGGGACACATGAGAGTCAACCACACATTGATGTTTCTCTCCCACTTTTTCTCCTTCCCTTTCCCTCTCTCTAAAATAAATAAATAAAATATTTTTAAATGGGTAAAGGATATTTACCTGGCAGGGAAGATACCACGAATACGATGAAGGTGGTTTTCCCAGGGCAAGGCTTATCCATAGCATTCTGGATGTGCTAACCCCTGCGATTTACCCAAATGTGGGAAACTTGACTGCATAATTTGTGGTAGTGTGGGACTATGTCCACACTCCCCCTAGGAAAAAAAATGGGCACAGGACCTGAACAAACACTTCTCCAAGGAGGACACATAGAAGGACACAGAGACATATGAAAAGATTCTCAGCATCACTAGCCATCAGAGATGCAAATTAAAACCACAATGAGATACCACTTAACATTAAGTGCTGGCAAAGTTGTAGAGAAAAGGGAACCCTAGTATATCGTTGATGGGAGTGGAGACTGGTTCAGCCACTGTGGAAAACAGTGTGGAATTTCTCAAAAAACTAAAAAAAGAACAGCCTTTTGATCCAGCAATTCCATTGCTGGAATTATACCCTAAGAATCCTGAAACACCAATTCAAAAGAACCTATGTACCCCAATGTTCATAGCAGCACAATTTATAATAGCCCAGTGCTAGAAGCAACTTAAGTGCCCATCAATAAATGAGTGGATAAAAAAACTGTGGTACATTTACATAGTGTAATACTACCCAGCAGAAAGCAAAAAGGAGCTCCTGCCCTTTGCAACTGCATGGATGGAACTGGAGAGCATTACACTAAGTGAAACAAGCCAGGATGTGAAAGACAAATACCATATGTGCTCACCTTTAAGTGGAATGTAATCAACAAAACAAACAAGCAAGCAAAATATAACCAGAAACACTGAAATAAACAACAAACTGACAGTAACCTGAGGATAGAAAGGAGGGAAATAACGGGGGAAAGCGAAAGGGTTGTCAAGGAACATGTATAAAGGACCCATGGATAAAGCCAAAGGAGGGAAGGGTTGAAGGTGGAAGGTGCAGGGAATGAGGGAAAGTGGTGATGGGAAAATGGAGAAACTGTACTTGAACAACAATAAAAAATAAAACAAAATAAATTAAATTAAAAAGAAAGAAAAAAGTTAGGGTTCTGGAGTATCTCCAAAATAATTATCTTTAAACTATATCATGCTTTCCCCCTTTGGATTTTTTTTGGGGGGGAGAGGAGGATAGTCTAATTGTGTCATTATTAACATTCTTTTGGCAACCTCAACACATTTCACTATGTACTTGTACTATATTATTATGTATTCAAACCATGTACACTCTGTTTTGAAAATTAATATGCTAGACCTGTTTCAAAGTCTGCTTTGTGCATAACAATTCTGAGTAATCTTGTCAGGAACAAAAATAGAAAGTTTTCATAGCTCCTTATTGCTATTCATATTTTTAAAGTAGCAAAAGAAAATTTTTAATAAAATAGAGGCTGAGTATACTATCATCAGAATTTTAATATGAGAAAGCTAGCTAACATTGTAAAAATAGAGTTTGAAGTTCAGCCTTTTATATGTATTACCTGAAATAATATGATACATGTACTTGGAGTAAACCATGAGTGTCTGTATTCATCAAGAAAACAGCACACTGCTTTCCTTTTATTTCATGTAACTCAGTCAGCGGTGTATGATAAACAATAGCCTCATATCTCTCTCCAGCAAAAATTGGCTGTCACGGTTGGAACTTTCTTGTTGTGAATAATTGATATAAACAACCCTTCCTGACTTACAAGTAGTTATACGCTATTGGAGCAGCAAAATTAGTGCTACTTCAAATTTAAGCCTCCTTTAAAAAAAGGGATTTAGAAAATATACTAAAATATAGCATTTTTATGTTTATGGTTTCTTTTGCAGGGGAGCTGTTAAACACTATTCTGAAACATTCTTTTCAAATGATAAGAGAAAGTTTATTTAGAATGTTACGGATGTAGTAGAAGGGACTAGCTGGGCTGTGAACTCTCAGGGGGCAAGTCACTGAAGCGAAAGCAGGACCCTCGGAACTTAGGAGAGAGAAGGGCAGAAAGAAGACGGGAAGGTGTGGGCGTGCTTTGAAGGTGCTCTGCTGAGGGGAGGCGCTATTCTGAAGCTTTTGTTTATTTTAATTTTTTAAAAATATTTTATTTATTTATCTTTAGAGGGGAAGGGAAGGAGAGAGGGAGAGAAACATCAATGTATGGTTGCCTTTTGTGCGTCCCCTGCTGGGAACTGGCCTGTAGGGAACTGGTCTGCAACCTAGGCATGTGCCCTGACTGGGAATCAAACTGCGATTGTCTGGTTCACAGGCCCGCACTCAATCCACTGAGCTACACCAGCCAGGGCCTGTTTATTTTAATTTTTTAAAATATTTTTTAATTTAATTGTTGTTCAAGTACAGTTTTCTGTCTTTTACTCTCTTCCCAGCCCACCCCCCCAGTGCTCTTCACCTCCTTCCCATTTCCATCCCCCTTAGTTTTTGTCCATGTGTCCTTTATACTAGTTCCTGTGAATCCTTCCCCTTTTCCCCTAAAATTCCCTTAATACAAATAAATCCACCGACTGCTTTTATTGAAGCCAAAATGTTAAATGAAACCAAACATTTTGATCAAAATTTGTTTCTTTGCTCACACTTTTAGTATAATATATAGTGAAAATCTTTGTCTGCTTGTCTAAATTGTTGTTGACAGCCTTTTTTTTTTCAGTCTACTGTAATTTTTCCCGTTAGACCCAAGCCTCTGAGTTACAACACACAATCTGCTTTGCATAAAGAGCACAGACCTGGGCATCCTCTCACACGCGCCTGACCAACACTCTATGTCTGATCTCTTCAGCAATGTTATCAATTCCTCGTTAGTTTGCTGTACAAGAACCACCTTCAGGGCATGCCATAATTTATTTATGTTGCATTCCCAAAAGTCTGTATTCTCAGGTCTATTTGAATATTTTAAAGGAATTAGTGGGTTCGTAGAAGGTAAACAAAAAATAAAGAATCCAGCTTTTCACTCTTAACTCTGTCACTGACACTAGACAAGCCATCTAAGCTTTCCAGATCTCAGTTCTTTAAACTGTAAAATGATAAAGTTGGACAGATAATATCCGAGCTTTTACAGACCTACAGTTCTATAGATCCTCGAGAGGGCTATAGCCAGACGCCTTGAGGGCAAGCAATCCTAAAACATATATCCTAGTGTAATGTTTTATAGCTATATAAAAATATAATCCCCTGAATTTAACATCTCTTTTCTATTCTGTTTAAATTCCATTAATATCCTCTATAATATCTTTTTTCACATCTACAAGATGCCAATAATAAATTTAATATGTTTGTAAGCCATGGTAAGGAAGATTTCATTCAGGTTTTTATATTATATAGATATAGATACAACTATGTATAGATATACATATATATACATGGTTTTTATTTTTTATTTTTAATTACAGTTGACATACATTATTACATTTGCTTCAGGTGTATACCCCAGTAATCAGGCATTATATAACTTAGTAAATGATCATCCCGATAAATCTCTCACCCATCTGAAACCATATATAGTTATTATGCTATTATTGACTGTATTCCCTACGCTGTACTTTACGTCCCCATGACTATTCTGTAACAATAAATTTATACTTCTTAATCCCTTCATCTTTTCTGCCCATCCCCCCAACCATGATTGCAGATAAATATAGATTTAACACCTGCTTATGAAGTGAATGGCTAAAGAAATGCTGCACTTTAACTTTTTTCTCACTTATCTTATAACTTTTTTAAAGTTATAAAACTTTATAACTTTAAAAGAATCTTCATGTTGCTTTTTCAATTTCTATTGCTAATTTTAATTATACAAGTCTGATACATGCTGAATCTATATCTTTATTTGTAATATAAACTTTGTAAATTTGTAGATAATTATTAACGCATGAACCTGGCACATAATCATCATCTACTTTCCTAAAGTAAGCATATCAACATAAGGTGAATGATTACATTTTGGTACCTAATTTTTGCCTTAGCATAACTAAGCCTACACACATCTGCTACTCACAGATAAAAATACAGAAATGATTAAAAATAAGAGGAAGAAATTTTTTTTTAAATCTGAGGAGAAATTCAACTAGGAGAATCAAGACATCATTGCTTATTTTCTTTTAAGATTGAAAGGCATACAATATATGTCTAATGAAGAGAAAAAGATATAGGAAAAAATCAACTCTGATAAAGAATGTGAAAAAACATTTTTCAGGTTCAGCTCTAAAAATCTAAGCAGATATTTCTATTGGAAATGGCTTACTTAGCCCTTTTTTCCCTCATGTTTCTTTTTCATGTATGAAAGCAGCAAGAGGAAGTGAAGTGTTTTGAACTAATTAGTAGATGACGATTTGGCAACACCTCTAAGCATTGGCCCTTAACTAGAAGGGAAAAAACATAATGGGATATGCTGTTAGTGGGACTACTGACTGAGAAAAGAGTGAGACAGAAGACAAAGTCAAACATGAACTTTCAAGGTATATGGAGAAGTTTAAAGCATATGACCTGAAAGTCAAGAGTATATAAGAATTATGATGCTTTGGACGTATTAAAAAACTGAGGTTGGAGAGGATGTCATCCCGTAAACAGCAGGTTAAAATGTATGTGATTGGCTAAAGAAGTTGAGAGAGGGAGAGTATTAGTTGAAGAATTTCCACGTGTTAATAGCAGATTGGATGTGGCAGCCTGCTTACATGATAAAAATAGGCATGATACAGGGTGCAGCCAGGGGGGCCCCCAAAAAAAGATTTGGAATGGTGTCCAGAATTCAAGTGTATAGGAATATTGGAGAGACATATAAGATGTCCTCACCCCCCCCCCCACACAGGGGGGAAGAAAGAATGGAGCCAGGCCATTGAGAGCTGTTTTGCATAGCAACAGTTTTGCAGCTAACCTCTGGAGTGATTGTTTAACATATCTATAACCTTTGGCTGGTTTCATAGATATGTTAAATAGCAGTGGCCAAGTTTGGAGCCAGGGAGAAGGTTATGGCAGGGACTCAAGATGGGAACTAGGGGCTGCTCTCCTGAGTGAGAAGGGTTTGGACTCAGGATGGAACTAGGAGCTGCGCTCCTGAGTGAGAGCGCCTAGATGAGAGCTTGGAAAGGACTGGCTCCAGGACACGAGGGGTCCCTGCTTGGCCAGATGAGAGAGAGAGAGCCACGCGGTTTCAGCAGAGTGAGGACCCCCTGTTGGTGAGGTGAAAGAGAGAGC